CCCATGGTTAAGATCTGATGAGAGTTCATTATAATGCAGCTCACAAGGAAATTTGGTTATTTCTGTGGCACACAACATTTTAAGGTAGCTGGAATTAAGACTGATAACAATTTACATCAGATTTTTAGGAATTTCATATAATGTTTGGAACACTTATGTTAATAATACATATCCATACAGGGATATCCATAAAGAAGGTTTAACATTATTTCTTATTTGACAGTGCTCCTCATGTAACTTAACATATCATATAAGGTTAATAAATGTCTCTTTTTTTATAAGAAGAGAGAACAAATCTTTTGAGATGTTCTAGGAGGCCTTTGGAAAATCCCAGAGTTACTTCCAGGTCAAAAAGACTTCATTTGGAGCCAGCCCTGTTGGCCTAGTGGTTAAAGTTTGGCACGCCCCGCTTTGGTGGCCTGGGTTCAGTTCCCAGGTGCGGAACCACACCACTTGTCAGTCAGTAGTCATGCTGTGGAGCAGCTCACATAGAAGAACTAGAAGGGCATACAACTAGAATATACAACTATGTACTGGGGCTTTGGGGAGGAAAAAAATAAAGAGGAAGATTGGCAACAGCTGTTAGCTCAGGGCAAATCTTTCCCAGCAAAAAAAAGAAAAGACTTAGTTTGGAATTTGATTTTGGGAAGTTTGTCAAAACTGTTGAAAGGTTTTGGACACTTCACTTGACTAAATAGGATCACAGATCTTTATGAAACAATGCTTAATTATTTACTTAACCAAAGTGACAAAAGATTTTAAAGGCAAATATCAAGTTGTAAGCAAAACTTAGCTCTCTTAATATTAAGAAGACTCTGTTTTGTTAAGTAATCAAAGACCTGATTAAGACACCATGAAGCACAAGAAATTATTTTGATGAAACACAAAATCTTTGCTTTCTAGACAAATTACTTTGAAGGTAAAGAAAAACTTTTCATAATCTCTTTTCAGAAGCAGATCAATACTCCAAGAAAACTTTGTCCTTTTATCAAATGAAAGAAAATTACTGTTCTTTTCTAAAAGAAAAGCATACTGTTGATATTAAAGCTTACCTCTTATAATAACAATTTGATTTTAGCCAACTTGACCATCCAAGGTAAAATTCTCTCTTTCTCTTTCTTCCCAACTTTCTATGCAGTTGTGTCCTTTATTTTCCTCTTTTCTGTTCTAAAAAAAACGAGTTTTATTTTGGGATAAATTTGTTTTCTTTTTACCTTTAACAAAAATGCATCTCCATACCTCATACCTTCTCTTAGCCAAAAATGCATCCTACTTTCCTTGCATACAGAGGTATTTCCATTATTATTTCTAGTAGCTTTAATTACATACATTAGTTAGAAGTTTTAACCCTTAGAAACCTGAATTTCTAGTGAAAAGTAAGAAGTAAGCAATTGTGAACCGTCTGTTAGACCAGCATTCTTTAGATTGGCAAATTTATGAATACATTTCATAATTTCTTGAAACATACATTTCGTTATAGAATGATTTTTCAGCGTGGCACAAGACATAGCTACTAATAGAGCCGAACATCTTTAGTTCCTCTGTCATAAGAGGGAAAAAGTAGATAGACTTGTTTAGCAATTAGTGTTTCAGTATTTTATCTTATTTGGAAATGATCTAGACATTCAATGGATTTTTATAATTTAATTTAACTTAGCAAAATTCAAAGGGTGGAAGTTACCAAAGATTTGGGAAACTATTTTAAGTAGACATACCGTAACATATAATTATTGCTGAAAAGTTCACCTGAGACCTCTTGTCCCACTTACGTCTTTCTAAATCACTTCCTCCCAACAATTATGTTTAGACTACCCATGAAAAACTTCATTAGACAGTAGAAAAAGTCAGCCATCATCACAAGCTACTTTTCTTGCTGATAAGTTTTGTGGTAGAGATAACATGAATTTGTTTGACTAGTAAACCCAGGTGGATTAAAAGTTGTTTATCTGCATTACATTTGATGATAACTCTGAAGACATACCTATTTTAATTAAACCAAACTTAAACTAGCTTTTATTTACCAAAGATTATCCCAAATTGTGTGAACTTGAAAAACATTTGGATTAGTTTCTGTATTTCTGAGTTTTAGAAATACTGAATTCATAACTGTTTATTTTTAAGCCGGTTAAACGGAGCTCTTTTACAAATTAATTTTGGGAATACCAAAATTACTGGAGGTAGAGAGAGAAAAAAGTCACATATATATAACATACATCCATAGACATACATAAACATCCAGATAGACACAGAGACCTTCTAGCTTTTGTTCCAAAATTTTAGCCACAAATCAGGTACAACAGTATAAGACTCACAAGTTTATAAATAATGGTTGAATTCACATTGGCAGATGTAACAAGTAAGGTTACTCGCTTCAGTGACTAAAGCTTTTTACTAATGTTTGTTGAGAAGACTTTTAAGATTTGTATTTCTCCTGATAAATAATCTTAAGGAGGCTGTGGACTAGATTTTGGGCAAGAGAGCTTTTATAGCATTTTGTATTTTAAAAGGCTTCTTTCCCCACCTTTTTTTCCTTCAGTCTCAGGTGATTGTGGACAGAATTTTAGTTACCTCCTGGGGTGTTTACATTTCAAAGACATGGTAAGATTTACACTTTCAAGGGGCGGAGAAAGAATGTAAGTTTTTTCCCAGAAGTTTTAGTATCTTTGGGATGGTTTTGGCAGTCTCAATAAAATGTTGTAGTGTTACCCTGTAATTAGGGGGAGTACCCTGTGGAAATAATTCTCTCTGGACTCCAGGTCCAATGGAGCCTCTTCAGGGTTGGAAATGAAACGGAGTCATTGGGTTCCTGTGGTCATGGAAATGATAAACTCATTGGACCATGCCAGTTTTGTGCAGAAGGAGATGGGCGGCTTCATCTTAGTGTTTTCCATTCACTGTGAGCCTTAACAGTGATCACTGTGATGGAAGGATGGCCATGGCACTCGGCAATAAATATCCAAGTGAAGAGAAGAAGGGCCCCGGTGGGAGTATCAGTGGCTCTAGGGGCCTTTGCCTTTCCCTCTTCTCCTCGCTGGAGGCCTTGATAACTCTGTCATCTTTGCCCTTGGTAGCAGGGCCACCTTGGGAGGTGTGCTGCTGCTGCTTCTCTGTTCAGGGGAAAGCCAGGGGGATAGCTGGTATCTCAGGAAATGAGCATATCACTCGGATGGATGTTATGAGAGTCATGGATTTTAGAGTTTTTAGAGATACTGGTCAGTTGAGGTATTTTAGCAGCCGTGAGTAACAATTCAGAACCCATTTCAGACCAATACGAAAAAAAAATAGCCAATTAGTTCCCCTCTCTCCTTCCTGCTGCATAAAATCTTTAAGAATGGTTTGAATTCTATTTAAGGTATAGTTTTTTATCTCAGTTTCTACTTGTTGTTTTTATCCTATAGCCTTAGTTTTATGTGTTGTTACCAGAAAATTTTGAATGACTGTGAGCCCTCTTCATAGGTGGCCACTTTCCTTTCCAGGGTATCCCAGGAGACCTCTCTGGGTGTGGGGTCTGCCTCCGCTAGCCCAAAACACACACCTTCCAGGGCGTTTTGCATTTATCAAGGAACTGGTGTACCTCCTCAGGGTTCTTAGGAGGTGCTGACACCAGATGTTCAGGACATTTGTATTTGTCCAGTAACTCTTGAGCAACATCATGCCAGAGATTGGATACATATCTCATCAGGTCAGGGGATGAAGAATGACAGTAGTGGGTGAAGTGGTGACACAGGGACTGTAGGCCTCGCTTGTATTTCCCCTCTGGTGATGCCATTAGTTTCCGGTTGCAAGGCTATTTCGCTATTCTGGGTTGGGTTATTTTGGCAGCCATGACCTTTTGGGTTGGAGACTGCAGGCAACGCACAACAGAGGCAATGTGTGAAAGCACATAGCAGCGTGACTGACCTGCAGCAAGTGGTGCTTCTTTCCCAGGTGGTGTTACCCACCTGGGTTAGGTAGTTAGTAAGCAAGTTGCAGGCAGGTAAAGAGCATTCCCCTTAGTTAATTGCAAGGGCAGTCGTGCAGGCCCCCTGACTACGCCAGTTGTTGTGTGTCAGTCTCAACCTATCAATAACCAGCCCTGTGGTTCTTATTATGACTGTAAGACACCCTTCAGTAATAACCATCGGGAAACTTTGAAAAAATAAAAGTTTATTGCTTACCGGAGCTGGGAATTACACAGCTCACCTGGGGCCACGTAGGGAGGTCATAGAGAGAGAGCGCATGGGCCTGGGGTTCTGCTTTTGTTGGGGTTGAGGGTAGGGGCCTGGGGTTTTGCGGGTTCACTCTTTATTGGTGAATTTAAAACATGAGAGTAGGAATTTAAAGCATGAGAAGAGAGAAAACAAGTGGCCACAATGGTCAGTTATTGAAGTCAACCAAAATTTCTGAGAAAAAGGAGTGTCAGAGGTGGGAGGTGGCCTGGCTCTTTATCTAGTCATGTGGCTGGTAATGTGTTTATTCTAGGTAGTCGCCTTTGAAGTGCATGCCTCCTTGTGGTGGATGCCTCAGCAGTCAAAGCTTAAGTTAGGACTTGCATTACAAAAAGAAAAAAACTCAGGGTTTATACTATGTATTCAAAGAATGGAAATAAGAATAAAGTTAGGTGTAAAAGATTATTTTCATGAAAAATGAAATAGAACATAATTTTTCTAGGTGTAGAAATTCATTCTTATAAGCCTTGTTGACTATAAAAGAAATTGAGAGTAATGTATTCAATTACATATGTGATATTAAATCCTAGATATAACCTAATTTATGAAGTCTTTTCTGTTGAAAATGTAGGGAATTTTTAAAAACACTCTCTAGGTAGTCAAGAGTATTTCCGCTAAGATCTGCCCTTTTGTGAATAGTTGTTGAAATGTCAGAACGTTGTCTAGAACTGTTTATTAAAAGATCTAAGAATAATTATTTGTAGAGAGGGCCTTGAGCATGTATTTAAGTAAATCTGATAGTTAGATGACTGAAATACTGCTAACATATTTCATTGTTATCTGCTGGGGTAGCCATTTAAAGATCGCTGCGAATGGTTCTATGAACATTTGCATTCAGGACACCCGGATTCAGACATGGTGCACAGGCCAGTGAATGAAAACGATATCCTGCTGGTTCACAGAGGTATGTTTAACAGAGAAATTGATGTGTGTGTGAGGCACAAAATACTAGCTATTGTAAATTTTAATATATAAAATTAACCAATGCTACATATTTAGATTCTATTTTTAGGAGTAGCTGTGAAGTTGTGTCAAAAGCCAACTGTGCAAAGCTAAAGCAAGGAATTGCTGTACGGTTCCATGGAGAAGAAGGCATGGTGGGTATAAAAATAAGTGCTATTAAGATAACTGTATCAAAGATTGAAATGGACTTGAATAAATTTTAATATTTAATTGATAACGGAAGAGATTTAATATGATTTTAATTTTATTATTTGGAAAAAATTTCTCCCTATATTTCTGTTGATACTCAATTTTATTTTCTTGAACTCAGGGTCAAGGTGTTGTGCGTGAGTGGTTTGATATTCTGTCTAATGAAATAGTCAATCCCGATTATGCATTGTTTACCCAGTCAGCTGATGGTAAGTCGTACAGTCTAGATGACTTTTTCTGTGACTTGTCACATTTTCAGACTTCTTCGATGCATTTTATCCTTTGATTCCCATAGTAGCCCTGTGAGCTAGATGGGGTATTTCCATTTTATAGAAGAGAAAACAGAAATTCCGAGTTTTTGTCGATGTTAGTACAGTTAGTGATTGGTAGGATCATGAGTGGAACCTGGCTCGGTCTAACGTTCTTTCCTCTAATCAATTGCTTGTCTCAGGGACTAGTGCTGGCCCCAAGGAAGTTTTCATCAGTCCTTTGTAAAATAAAACTGAATTTAATCAATTTAAGCATTGTCCTTTAGTCTACTTTTTTGAGTTAAAATTTCCTTTTGTGAAATCCTGCTAGTAGATGGATTAAAAAAATTCAAGTCTTTGTTTGGAAAAATTAAAGTTTGCTAACCCTATTTGAATTTTCAAGTCTTAAAATGTATTGGTCATAAAAAAACAAAGTCTGGAAATCATGATGTTAAATCTTAACTTAGAATCTATTTATGTATAGTAACTTAGTTTTCAGTTCTTTTAAAACAACAAGACCTGGCAACTAAAAAGCTCTTATTTAACCATATAATACGGTTAAAGAACTCTGTTGAAATGGTGCTTGCAACCTACAGAACTGAAATGTGATATTGCAGGCTAAATGCGTGGTCATCACCTCATTCGTGCAAGGTGTAGTAGAGAGTTCTCTAACTTAATAGAGATGTATCCAAGTGAAGGTGGGATTTTCGTTTTTAAATGCTTTGCACAGTTGCTTTTATTTCCTGAAGGTCTTTTCTTTTCCAGTGTTTAAATTCTCTTTATAAGGAGAGAATGCTCATGAATGTAGCTTCTGACTGCATCCAACCAAACCAGCAGCAAATCTCCATTGAATAAGAAGGATGAGTCTAAGGGGGGCGGGGGCGATGCCAGGGAGCTGCCCGTCTCACCTGCGGGCTGGGCTCCTCAGACACACCTGGCGTATTCGAACTTATTTGGGAATGTGGGACTGCCTGCTTTAACTCTGTAAACTCTGATTATTTACTCTGAGGTGAATTTCGTGTGTTTGTGATTTTATGCCAAGTGTGATGAGACACTCAGTTTACTTATTTAGGACTAATCCTTGAAGCAAGATTTGGCAGTAGAGCGTTATGTTTTAGGTTTATTTCTTTTCTTTATAGTCCCATATTCTGACTCTATTTAGTTTCATACCTGAAAAACAGATTTGGTGTAGAATCGTTAGTTGACATACTTCTTCATACTACAAATTTATAGCAGCGGGGATGTTGAAGAACATAGACCGTAAAGACTGTGATTTGTCCTTTTGGTAAAATAAAATGAAGAACTCTTGAATGTGGGAAATGTTTAGATAGACCTAATGTCTACAATAATTTCTTTAAAGCTTGCTTTCTAATCAAATTAAGGTTGTTACTATAGAGAAGTGGTGTAGCATAGTGGCTAAGAGTTTGGCCTTTGGTGTTAGACTGGATGTGAGTCCTGGCTCTGCCCCTCTTTTTGCTGTGATCATGGGCCAGTAAATTTAACCTTTCCCCGTCTCAATTTTCTTGTTTGAAAATGGTGATAACCTATGTTTTGTAATGTAGTGAGAAATCAATTAGCTGGTGTGTAAAAATGCTTAGCCCAGTGCCTAGCACACAGAAAGCAGAAAGAAATATTAGGTGCTGTTGTTATTATTTTGTGAAGAGGGTATTTTCTTGTGCAATAGGATTTTTCTGAGGCAATGGGAGTGTCACAGTTACTTTTATTTTGAACTTAAAATATAACATAAAGTTTATATTCTCTTTTAACAAGTTTTCAAGATAAAAACTATTATTTCTTTCCTGAAGATTTTTCCCCCATTTGTTTCCTCTTTTTTCTTTTGATTTCTCCTTATCCTTTTTAATAACCCAGATTTCCCAGAAAGTACTTAGAGAAGGATTGTACGTAGACCTAGGGAGGGAAGGTTCAGTCATCAGAAATCTTTGCTGGTTCATCAGTAACCCTAAGCACTCACTATTTTAATAGGTAAATAATATTTGTGATTATTCTCAGACTGTTAAATTTTTGGAATTATGGCTTTGTTTGTCTTTGAAGTCTGTCTTCATCTCACAAAACTTTGCTTTGACTTTTACTACCCAGTCTTACATCATGACTCGGAATGATTCTCAGAAGGTACTTAGCAGTGAATGACTAGCTTCATGTGGCCCTCTTAAGTCACTCAGCCATAAGCTTTCAAATTTGTACTTTTTATCTCTGTAAATTGGTCACAGCAATTTAGTCCAGGGCCAAGACTGATAAATCAAAGACCAGTGAAGCATAAAGTGAATTGTTGTCAAAATTTGTATATTAAATGACCAAACATTTCACTTTCCAATACTTTTCCACTTTTCCTTTATTTTTCTTTGATGCCATTTCATTAGATTTTTCCATTAGGTATTCTTTCTTTTAGCCCAGGTGCTTAGAAGAGTAGTAATAGCATGAGCTCCATAAATATTTGTTGAATGAATGAGAGAATTTGTAATCTGAGTTTGTGATGATCCCAGAAAAATAGGAAAGAGAGTTATTTAAAGTCGAGATCTTGCTATTAGGTTTTTCTATTGCACTAGGGTTTTTTTTGAGACTTTTTTTTATACTGGTAAAATATACGTAATGTAAAATTTACCATTTAACCATTTTAAAGTGTACAATTCATTGGCATTAAGTACATTCACAAAGTTGTGTAACCATCACCAGTATCTGTTTCTAGCCCTTTTTCATATAAGTGGAATGAGATTCCATTGCACTAGATTTTGACAGTAATGGATAACTATTGCCCTTGCCATTTTTACTTTTACTTCAGTGGTACTTATTTAAATTTGGTTATATGTTGTGAGAAAGACTTGGTTGACTTGTGGACTTAGGTGATTTTCTGATAATTGTTGAAAAGCATCAAGTTCGTTGACTAGATCTATCACTGAAGAACAGTTGTACATTTAAAATTTTTAGTTATTCTCTTGTAGTGCTCTGTTGCTTTGGAGCAAAAAGTAGTGAATACCTACTGCACTGGACATGTATAGATGAATGAGACAATATCTGCCTTAATCCACGGCTTAGTAATTATTTCCACACTGCCTGGGAAAACATGCGTGTGTGTGTGTGTGTGTGTACCGTCTTTTAACTATATTATTTCCAGGATCTCTCTGGCACATCTTCTAACTACTTTCAATTAAAAGTGTCGTAAAATTTTCTTTCTGGGCAAAGACTTACTCTGATAAGTCTGTGTGAGTTAATGATGGTCTTTTGTATTTCCAATTCCACTGCCTGTTATGTATTCCACAAAGAACTTTCCTGTTTATACATAATGTAATCTTAGCTTTGCTGGAATTATATGTGAGCTAATTTATCTGCTTTGAAGTGATCTCTCTTCTGCGAATAGATTATTAAAAATAAATTACATTGTATTTATTTTAATAGGAACAACTTTTCAGCCTAATAGCAACTCCTATGTCAATCCTGATCACTTGAACTATTTCCGGTTTGCTGGGCAGATCTTGGGATTAGCTTTGAACCATAGGCAGCTGGTCAACATTTACTTCACAAGGTCATTCTACAAGCACATTCTTGGTATGGCTCTATTGTTATTTCATAGGCATTTATTTAAAATGTTTTTTTTTAATAGTCTTTAGGAAAAACTAAGTAGATAAGTGGTGACAATTTAGATGAGAAAATTTTTATTTTGATTGGAGACTATCTGTGTATGTAAGGCATTGGGGGGCCTGAGGGAGAGGAAAAACAACCTACTTTTTGCTAAAAATTTTTTTTTCATTTTAATGTATATATGTTTATACTAAGAATGCATTTTAATATGAATATCCTTAAGAGAATTGAAGTTTATAATAATTTCCTGAATAGCTATTTCAAAGAAAGAGTACATTGCAAAAATGCGGAAGAAACATAAACTTAAATTCACAGACTTCCAGATTCAGGAATTAGCCTCCATTTAAATCATGCTGTGAATTGGATTATATTTTGCAGTTTTACAGAGTGTCTGCAGAGGGCAGTATTTTACCATTAAATAGGTAAGGAAAGACAGAAACGTTTAGAATATAACTGCTGTATGTTTGCATTTTTAGGTATTCCTGTAAATTACCAAGATGTGGCATCCATTGATCCAGAATATGCCAAAAATTTGCAGTGGATTTTAGATAATGATATCAGTGATCTGGGTCTAGAATTAACATTTTCTGTGGAGACTGATGTGTTTGGAGCAATGGAAGAGGTGCCTTTGAAACCTGGAGGTGGAAGTATTCTTGTGACACAAAATAACAAAGTGAGTATTCAGGTTTTTACATTAGCCATTTTTTAACATGGCCCTGATAGTTTGCTAATTACTCCAAATTCTCCTGCGCTAGCTAGGAAAACTTTTACTGTTAGAGTTTCGTAACATTTTATAATAGATAAAATATTTAAAGTAACTAAACTATCAAATATCAAACTGTGAATTAGAAAGGATGATTTCAATATTGTGTTAGATATGCTAAGGCCGTTTCTGAAACAGCCTAGATCACAGTTCAGTTGGTTGTATAAATTTCGATTAAAAAAAAAAGCTTATATCAAGATCGTATTTGTACTATTTCATGTTTTATAATAATCTCTATGTAAATTATCTATATAAGTAATCACTATTTCATGCTTTCACCAACCTTAAGATTTGGCACTCTCACCACTGCAGCCTGAGTTCGTTTCCAGGTCAGGGAACCACACCACCCGTCTGTCAGTCGTCATACTGTGGCATCTGCTGTTGCTGTGATGCTGAAAGCTATGCCACCGGTATTTCAAATACCAGCAGGGTCCCCCATGGTGGACAGGTTTCAGTGGAGCTTCCAGACTAAGGCAGACTAAGAAGAAGGACTGGCCATTCACTTCTGAAAAAATTGGCCATGAAAACCCTATGAATAGCAGCAGAGTCTTGTCTCATAGAACGCCGGAAGGTGAGAGGGAGGTCCAAAAAGATCGGGCAGAGTTCCGCTCTGCTGTGCTCGGGGTAACTAAGAGTCAGAAGTGCCTTGCCAGCACTAAAAAAGAAAACTTCATGTTTTAAAATTAAGAATTCCAATAGAGAAGAGAAGAAATCCCATTGTTTAAACTTTGTACACGCTTTTGGGATCCGGTAAATCTGTTAGACCTCTGAGCTTGATTTTTTTAATAACTTTTTCTGTTTGGTATTATATCTCCTGTTTGTACATATAAATATTTTTTTCCAATTTTACTAAGAAATAATTGACATCCGTCTGTACATATTTTTAACCCTCGGCATGTGTTTTAAATTTCACTGTTGAAAATCATCTTACTTTTATATATAATACAGTTTTATTTTATGTTTTGATACATTATATGGCAAATTGGGAGTCAGAAAATCTGGTTTTGGAATTCCAGTTCTGTCATTTACCTACAGTAGCAACTTCTGATTAAACAGGCTTTTTCCTTTCCTTTAGTTGGATTATAATTCCAAGACAACTTCCTAGTCAACTAACTATGAAAAATAATGTCCATTGAACCACTTTGTAGACTAGAGATTTAGTAAAATATAGCTTTTTTTCCTAAAAAAGGCTATAAGGCTTGGCCTCATTTTAACTTCTTTGAGCTTCAGTTTTGTATTCTGTAAAATTGGGATTAATAATGCCTCCCGTTCAGAATTGTGACCGGCATTTTATAAACTGAAAACAGCAACACAAAAGTTAGTTGGTATTGTTTGGAAAGTTTTCTATAGAAATAGCTTTAGTTTCAGATATATACAGGGAATTGGAGACCAAATTCAGCTGCATAATTTTACTTTTGGAGATTTAATACTGTATACATATTAAAAAAACATGAAGTTTAATTTTTGAAAATAAAATCAGGAGCTGAGTTTTTGTGCATTTCTACTTGCAAATTTTTTGATCTACCCTCTCATTTTACACATGAGAACCTGAAGCCTAAAGAAAAGCTGGGGCCAAAACCCACGTCTCCTAGTTTCAAGTCTAATGTTCTTCATACTCTTGGCAAAATTAATCACATTGAGGAAGATCTTTCTTGATTTTCTTTTAAAGATTTTATTTTTTTTCCTTTTTCTCCCCAAAGCCCCCCAGTACATAGTTGTATATTCTTTGTTGTGCGTCCTTTTAGTTGTGGCATGTGGGACGCTGCCCCAGCGTGGTTTGATGAGCAGTGCCATGTCCGTGCCCAGGATTCGAACCAACGAAACACTGGGCCACCTGCGGCGGAGCGTGCGAACTTAACCACTCGGCCACGGGGCCAGCCCCCTTTCTTGATTTTTAATATGAATCATGTTAAGCTCTAGAAGATTAAAATAGTAAAATGCTTTAAATTAATTTTTAAAATCTATATGAGCTTGCCAGTGAATGAAAATATTTTCAGGAATCTCCTATTATTAGATCGTGTACCCTGTAGTGCATTTATTATTTTATTTTACACTAGAGACCTACTCTCAATTAAGGGTAATGAGTCTTTATTATAAGCAAGTGATTGCTTTTCACCAGAGAACCTCAAGCATGCTTCTTATCTGTGAATACTGTATCTGGTGAGTGGGTTTGTCACTCCCTCAGATATGTTTTGAATGACATTAACAATTGTGTGATAGCTAGCTATATTTATAATTGTATCTCTTACCAGCCTCCCTCCTAGTATGACATGATTTTTGTTTAGATTTTTTAAATACATATTTTATTCTTTTGCATTTGTCTTTTATTGAAACCTAGAAAGAAGGAAGACATTGAATAAATAAGAATAAGAATATACTCACATTGAGGATATATCTTTCATCGTGAGTCTGGTCTGAGGCTGGAATACTATTGCAATATTAAAGAGCTTGAAACTTGTTTCTTAAGTTTAATACATTTTTATTTAACTATATTAACTGATTGATTACAGGCTAACTTTTGTTTTCAATGATGAGCTGTGGAAATAGAGGTAAAAGCAGGATTTTAATTACTAATATGTTAATTCTACTTAGCTTTCACTTTTCTGATATAAACATTTCTCACAATAAAGTGAGCCTTTTCATTTTCTAATATTGCCAGGAAGAGTCAAGTATAATTGTATATCAAATTGTTGATGCTTAAACATTTAATGCTTTTTCAATAAACAACGTGATTATTTAAAAAATATTAAAAATCTTTAGAAACATACCTACATCTTAAATTGATCACTTGCTTTAAAAATTAATTTATAAATAAAATTTTCAAACCGGGTTTCTTAGAAATATTATTTTTTAACATACATTTCTTTCATGAACTTTTCTGTTATTTTAGGGTTAGCCATTTACTTACTTAATCTTTTTAGGCATAAAGTTATAATTGTCACATTTGGAGTTCAGCTTCAAAATTTGTGGGCATACTGCAACTTAAATGACTTCCCAAGCTTGTTAGTAAGAGAAAGTCTGTGTGAGCTGATCTCCACATGGGGGAGTCATTTATTCCTAAGTTTTATTGAAAGACTTTGATAATTATAGAGTGAAACCAAATAGATGAAAATACGTTTGTTTAAAAAGCAGTACCTTAAATAAATACAAGTAATGTAGACAGAAGAATATATATCATTTCCACATTTGAAATGTCATACTCTTTTAAATTTAATTTTGTGTTTACTCTTTTAAATATAATTTTGTTTTAAAATCTAAAGGGAAAAAACACCTTGGTTTCAGTTTTGAAAGTGGCTGAATTACCAGGAATGGAACATTTACATTTAAATAGTATTTTCATCTTTTAAAAAAGTTTTGCTTTTGCTTCTTCACTTTTTCTTCTTCCTTTTTTTTTTTTTAGTGAGGAAGATCAGCCCTGAGCTAACATCTGTTGCCAATTTTCTTCTTTTTGCTTGAGGAAGTTTGTCCCCCAGCTAACACCGGTGCCAGTCTTCCTCTATTTTTTATACGTGGGATGCCACCACAGCATGGCTTCATGAGCCCTGTTTGGGTCCATGCCTGGGATCCAAACCCATGAACCCTGGGCCACCGAAGTGGAGTGTGTAAACTCAACCACTGCGCCACTGGGCTGGCCCCTTCACTTTCACTTTTTTATTCTCGACCAAAAGCTGAAATTGTAGAACTATAAAATCTTGAGTTTGAAGTAACATTTTTTCCTTAGATCTTCAGCTCTTAGAACTGAAGAGTAAGCTACATGGGTTTTAAGTGTTAACACTTTTGCAGTACTAATCAAAAAGTTCATTTAGGCTGGGAGGGAAAAAAAATGGATGTGAGTTGGGGCAGGACATCAGGGAATGGAGGAGGTGGCATGGAAGTTGAATTATAGAGGAGAAGCATTAAGTGGTCACTTAGGAGTACAGGGGAGGAGGAAACGTTCTGGGCTTACAGGAGGGCACAGAGATGACAGAGCACGGTGTGTTTGGGGAACCATATGTAGATCAGAGCTGTCGATCGTAGGTTAGGTTGCAAAGTGAGTTGAAAAAGATGAGGTTGAGGAGGTAGACTGGGCCCAGTTTCTGAAGGACTGCATCCACAATTAGGATTTCGAAAATTATTCTGAAGGCTGTGGGGATGATTGCACGTGTTATTGAGGAGAGTGGCATGATCGGATTTCTGTTTTTTTTAAAAACGAAAACTCAATTGTGTGAAGAATGGATTGAAATGGGGTAATACTGGAGTCAGGGCCGCTGATAGGCATTTGTGACGTTGGCCCTGGGAGCATGCCCAAGGGATTTTAAACAGTGGCAGTGAGGATGGAGGAAACGAGGTAGCTTTTGAGGCTGTAGAATTTATAGAACTTGGTAATGAATTGTTGGAGGGGGTGAGAAAGAAGAAGGACTCAAGGGTGACTGCCACTTGTGTGGGGTGGACCCTGGAACAACTGGTGGTGTTGTCGTCCTCCTCTTCATCAGCCACGTTACCATCAGTTCTGTTTCCTGGTGATAATAATAGCTACTGCCTATTGAGTACTTTGTTTATATTGCGTGTATTTGAGATGTGTTCTTTGTCCAGTTCTCATTTACTCTAACAGCCTTTTTAGGTAGTTATTTCTACTTATTCACTGTGGAAACAGCTTTAATATTAAAAGCTGTTGACATTTATTTGGTACTTGTAATGTGCTAGGCACTGTTCAGAGTGCCTTATGTCTATTAACTCATACTTAAACAGTCATCTGAAGCGTGGCTGTCCCTTTCTCCGGGTGAGGAAGCTGAAGCGTAGCGGGGTTAGGTAGCTTTCCTCCAGATCACATGGCTCACAAGTGGTAGAGCTAGGATTTGAACCCAGGCCATCTATACATTTCAAGCCTGAGCTTGGAACTACGACTCTGTATTTCTTTAGGTGTTAAATAA